TCATTTAATGTTAAATAATAACTGTTAACTATTATAACTAAACAATTATATCAATAAAAATTCATTATTTATTATCTATTACTCATTATTTACAGAATTTTAATTAATATACCAAATAGGTTCTTAATTCATAATTAAACTCTTAAAATGATATATCAAATTTTCCTTCTGCACCATCTAATCTAACACAAGTTCTCCAGGAAGGTTGGTTAAGCTCGAACTCGGCAACTACCTGTTCTTGAGTTGGAGTCTAGCTGCTAGCAGTCCCTCGTAGATTGAAGATCTACGGCAGTCACTAGTCCCTAATGAGGCTGGCTTGTGGTGACATATCCAATCCAAGTGCCACCCCTCACCTAAACTTTTGAACACCATACCTAACACAAATTGAAATATCAATTCTACATGATTAAGCACCTAATCTACCATCTCTCCACTGATAAAGAGGGTTTGATTGCCAACACATAATCCATCATTTGGTTTAGGCTTCAGATCATATGGAATCCTAGTAAAATGATAAGCAGATTTCTAGCCAAAAAAGAGTACTTGCGTTTAGTTACAGGAAGATGTCAATGGGCAAGTTGTGTATACAACAGCTAAAGTAACTTTGTTTTGCAAGAAATCAATTGAAATCTACTTGTGCCTTATGCTTCCAACACAATCAAGAATCAAAGACACTGAACTGAAGTGAGTGAAGTGTATAGGATGATGCTTTATGCTAGTGTTGTTAGGATTGTGCATCAGGAGCCAATACTTGAAGTGCTTCAGAACCTGAATACCTGATCAATTGAAATGAAATCAAGTAAATAATAGATAGTTTTACAGCTGTTCATTTAGGACAATGAATGACATTGCATGCCAACAGACACGGATTGAAATGAGCATTTAATAGGAGGAAACATTAACCATGAGCCAAACACATAAAAAACAGACGTAAGTTTCTCACCAATCACCAATCTATTTTTGTTGCTTTTGCTAATTCGAAAGTACGATGTCTGTCCCTGAACAAGAGCAATATCAAATTGTTAGAAGCTTGTCTTTCAAACCAAACACCACATCTACAGCAAACTTAGCATTATAACACAATATTCACTAAAAAGGAGCTTCTAACTGTATACTTGAGAAACAGTTTATGTGTGAATTGCAGATGAGCACATACATGTACCGCTCAAAGAGTTGTAACATAATACAATGAAAAGCATCATATCTCAAGGGAGGTGAATTCCAATGGAAGTGCATCTGAACCTGCATCAATTTTGTGAAATCAAATTCTCTCCTCATTTTCAAAAATAATTGAACCTAAAACATCACTTAAAGGTTTTAATAGAAAGTCTGTGGAGGAAAAGATTTTATTTATTTACCTTCACAGTATTGTTTTGCCGTGCTTTATATTCAGCATCAGATATGCTCTGTAGAAACTCCTCAACCTCAATAGCATGGACAATATCTTTCTTAAGTTTAAGAGAGAACAACTCCCATCGAAGAATCCTAGACAATGGCAAATCATCAAGGTCTGGCCAAATGACTGCAAAAAGGACAAAACAGCATAGGAAGATGAGTAGCAAAAAAAAAAAAAAAAGAGGGACAAGTGAAAAAAATAACCAGATATCAGAGAGGGTCTTACCAGGAACGCATCCGTAGTGAATGGCATCTGCAATCCGTGCAAGGTCCATTTGAGATCCGCGAGGGCACAGGCAAAACTTAGTTGTATAGTAACTTGGGGTCCATAGTGCATTAGCTTCTGTTCTCTTTCGAGGCATAGAAACTCTACGGCTGATCAGGAAGTCAAGATCTGACTCTGAGCTATCTTGCCCTGCCAAGAGAGTCAGTCTTGTTCTGCAATATTGAAGCAAGGTAAATATGCTTATCAACAACTTGTTCTACATAAGTTCAATCTAATCTAGCTAATGAAAATAAGATACACTTAGATTCAAATAGAATGAAGAAATCCATTTAAAAGATTTCTTATCAATACTTCTCTGATGATTTGAATGAGTAAACATGTTACTGATTAGTAGGTATGTGAATTTTAAAAAGTCGCAGATACAGATCCACTGAAAAACCTTATCATAATTTTTATGATCATAAATTCATAACGTGTTTCAAAGAAAGCATACTGTTTTGGATAAATCCACACAGAGAAAAGATAAAGAACCTGAAATCACACCATGCAAACACATAGAAGATAAAGAGGCTGAAATTACCTCATCTTTGTGTCAGTCCCAGCGGCATGGTTTACAAATGGAAGCAGCAACTGAGGGAGGGCCAAATCCTTCACCCTCACATATCCATCATTTTTGTTGGGAAAGCACACTACTCGAATTGCATGCCTCACTAGATGCTGAACTCCTTGGGTAACATTCAAACCCATTTCATGGCAACTCACAAAAAAGTGATCCATACCAAAGTTTCTGTCCCAATACGGGTACTTCAAACTTATTTCCTCAATGTATTTCTTTACCACATTTCTCATTTTCCTGATAGGGAGTCCCTGCTTGAAAAACAAATCCACAACAGTAGAGGAAACAAATTCAAGCATTCAAGCATGGCACTATAAATCAGCAACATTGTCAGTGAGGTAAATCCTGGGGATCTCAGTGTAATTATATTAACCCTCTTTTATGGGGCATCCATTGGAATACAATCTCATACTTGTCTTCTTCCTAAAATAATATAAATCAGCAAAGAAATAAAAGTTACCTTCGTTTCCTCAGAAAATTAAAAAAAAACTATGTTACCTCAAATTACTATGACACAGGCATCTCCCACATAACATATGTATATAAGATCCTCAAAGAACACTAAATAAAACTAATTAGACCTAAACCCGGAATTTGCATAATCAGTACCCTGAAAAACTGAATCTTTGAAATAGTTTAAAAGAAAAGGAATTTCATCTCTGAATTGAACAACAACAAACAGTATAAGGAACATAAAAGCTATAGAGCAATGCTATGGGCACTCGCCTCCTGCACTCTCCGGCCAACACTTTCTCTTTTATTGGGCCACGTTATTTTGGTGGCGAGAGGTTGCGCCTGAAAGCTTTAAAGAAGCTTACGTGGCCCAATGAAAGGGGAAGTGTTGGCCGGAGAGTGCAAAAAGCGAGTGCCCCTAGCACTGCTCAAAGCTATATACCTTTGCACTCATTTTCTGAACAGAAATGGGAATAAAGAACATAGTTGCCTCATCAGGGTTCTCAGTCCGAAGGGGACTTTCCATGATATTCTTGAAGAAATACCCTTCACTGGCATAAGGGCCAGAAAGCACACCAGGTGTTTGATAATATGTCTTTGGATCCCCTTCTGGGTACACGAACACCCTGAAGCTACTCTCCATCTCTTCATACCTCTTCTTGAATTCCTCATGGTTAACATCTTGCCATTGCTTCACCCTCGAGTACCAAGAGAGAGACGATACCAGATTGGTAAGGCATTCAAGATGGCTACTCGAACTAATGCAGCAGTCCTGAAACTGAATGAATATCATCGCAATCACAGGAATGGCGATTATGAGGAGAGAAAAGGGGAAGAGGGCTCTGAAGATTCTGGTTCCACACATGGTTTTCTTGTGGGAATTTTCTCGAGAAAATCGTTTTCTTGGGGTCTGCTTAGGGGAGGAGAGAAAGGGTTTAACAGGGGATTTTGTGAGAGAGAGGAGAGCAGGTCCATGTCCATATATTGGTGCAGTGCGGGAGAAGAGTTGGGTAATTCTGTTACGCCGAGAAAATCGGAAATTTCGCGGGAAACTGAACGGAAAGGCGAAGAGCTGCCGCTAAACTCAACGGAAAAGGGGCGGAGTGAGAGTGAAGAGACGATAAGCCGGCGTCCAGGTTCCAAAGGGACAAAATGGATTAAACGATGTCGTTTTCAAATTATATGGCGCCTAACGGTTTCTAAATTAGCTAAATTTAGTGCTTGGTCTATTAAATATTGATACATTATTACTTTAGTTCAGAAAGTTTATTTTCTCCAAATTGGAGTAGAAGTTCTTCAAAAGGTTTATTGGAAGTGTCTGATCTGTCAAATTTGTATGCTTTTCTAAAGAAGTTCCATTTTAACATTTACTTGGTACAATATACCATTAAAGGTGGAGTTTTGCATAGTTTGTATGGACAAAATAATTTATATATAATCATAAATTTATCTAATTAAAGATCTAAATACCCATATTATTTAAAAAAAAAATTAAATTGTGCTTTAAAATTGAAGCAAAAAGTATGGATGCTTTCTTTGCTTAGCTTTTTTAGAAAGTTCGATATATATTAGATGAATATCACATAAAGAAGATACATTACTTCCTCATCGTTTTGGAGTAGATGTACTTTGTACTCACAACCACAAAAACATTAAAATGTTAACAAATTGCAGGGCTAAGTCTACGTTTTTAAACATCATATCTGATTGAGAAGTGCCCCTTGTGAGTAGTCAATAGATCACAAGAGGGCTAAGTGGCCATATTTTATCATGGAGACAAAGTGGTCCCACCTAAAAGCACAAGGGGGTCGAGCAATTTGACCTAAATTAAACATGATCTAATATTGATCATCATGTGATTTAGCTATTAAGACTGCTTAGTAGCTATGAGATGAAGTGGACTTGAATTTGATATTCTGCTGTTTATGAGACACATGATTCCATTCTGAAATTTTGGTTCTTTACTTCCGTTCTTAATTGTAAAAGTATAGTGGTGGTTCTCAATTTTCTAAAAATTTTTACACTTTAATCCTTAAATTTCAAAATTTTACAATTTAGTTAATTTTAGAATTCTACAATTTGGTCCTCAATTTCATCAATTTATTCATCATTTTACTTTGAAAAACATAGTGATTTAGTTCCAATTTTATAATTTTTAAAAGTTAAGTCATATTCTACACAAATAATAAAAATAATGTAAAATCAAGTAAAATTACATTAAATCCATTCAAATATTAATAAAGTCAAGACTAAATTAGCCTCATATTATGTATAAGAATTCAACTTATCAAATACTATAAGGAAAGTTAGTAAATTTTATATTAAAAGTTTAAAAAGATTTTGTTGGGTTGTTAATATTCTTATTAGAAAGAGAAACAAAATAGAAAAAGAGAATAAAAAAAAAAAGATTATAATAGCAATAGTTGAAGATGGCTTCTAAGAGGGTAGAAGGGGTATTCTGACCCCTAAGAAGTAAAGGTAAGTGAAAAAGAATTAGAGAATAATGTCAAGAAGTTATATTGCTTATATTTTGACTTAAAACATTTATAATATAGATAATAGGAGAAAGAAGGAAATTAGGGTAAAAAGAAATATAATGATAATTGGGGGTTACAAAGAGTGACTAAAAAAGAATAATAATAATAAAATTTTGAATATATATTGAGAGAGAAAATAAAAGTGAGTATAAAGTAAAAATATATATAATAATAATATATGACTACTAAACTAAGATATGAAGCTCAAGAAAAGCAGTAAATGGTGAAGTGACAATGCACTAAGAATTTTAGTTTTCCTTCACCGTTCTCGTTTGACGCTCTGCCTCCATTTTCCCTATTTCATCCTCTCCATCAAACATAATCCCTATGATAATCACTCCTTGCAGTATTGAATATTATTCAACAATAAGAAACTCCCCCAAGAAATTCCAAGGATTCCTCAAAGGCCTCTCATTCTTCAACCTTTTTTTCTTTGTTTTTTGGTTGAAATTGAAGAGTATAATTGGATTAGGGAAATCAAAGGATAGAATGGAGGGTTTTTACAATGCTATAGGAAAGATCCTAAATAGAGAGAAACAATTTGAGTTCCATCTCACTCAGATGTAGTCATCTTTTTGCCAACAACTTCTTTGACATAGCCTTCAAGCCTTCGGTGAACTGGTTGAGCAGCTATGACGTTGGGAGGATGGAAGGAGAATTTGCAAGAAAGGCTTTTGGAATAGAGGGATTTGGAATGCAAAGAAACAAGGGAAAATCAAAGAAAAGGGGATGAGGTTATTGGTGTGAATATGAAGAGTACAAAGAAGGAATTCATGTTAAGGGTTTTGTACAAATTTGGAAAGTGGAAACATAGGAGAAAGTTGAAGAGGAGCAAAATTGGGATTTATACTTTTAACTTAAAACTACGTCGTTTTAATAATTCATTCTGACAAAAAAATTGACACTATCCACTGAGATCTATAGTTTTCCATATATATATATGGATCACGATACGTACACACCCTAAACCCACACCCAATGCTACACACAACCGGTCCATGTATTAAAATATATTTTCCTCACATGGGTTCCCCTCCATCCCTTCATCCACTTATTCTTATTTGCGTAACCAAACACACACCGAAAATAATACCCAAATTTGTTCCATCCCAATTTCCAGCACCTTCTTCCTTCTTTCTTTTTCCTTTTTTTTTTTTTTAGTTTTTCTGGAGAACGACCTGGGTTCTTGGAGAACCCAGACCTAGGTTCTTCTCAGAGAACCCAGATCGGGTTCTTGTTCTCCGGGTTCTCCATTTCTCTCGACTTCTCTTGGTAAAAACACTTGCTCAGCTTCATGCTCAGCCTCCTTTCCTACAGCTTCTGGTTTTCCTGCAGGTAGAGTAAGGGATGAGCGTGCTTTGGGTTGTCTAAAACTGGAAACCCACAAAACCCAAGTGGTCTCGACCCTAGCTTTTCCGACATGGGTGAGGACGGAATGAAGGTGAAGACAGGATCTATGGTAGTTCAGTTAATTTTTGGTGTATCGATAGCGATTGGCAGTGTTTTGATCTTGGTGTAGCTATTTTGGAAAAAATGGAGGTTGAATTGGCCTTCATGACTAGGGAGTTCAAAGGAGATAACCCAGATTTGGAGAAATGGAGGTTGGATTTGGAGAAATGGAAGTCCAGGAAGGCCGATTGAAATGGTTTCACCATATTGGGACGAGTCTGTAGAACTTGGAGGGATTGAAATGGAGGTCGGATTTGGAGAAATGGAGGTTGGGGAAGGCCGATTGAATTGCCTTCAAGACTAGGGATTTCAAAGGAGATAACCCAGACAAGCCAGGAATGAGTTTTTTACGCTATACAAACGTATTTAACTCATATTATATTTTTTGAACCGAATGGTGTAACCGTGGGTGTCGGTTGACAGGGTAAATACATCATTATCCTATATATATACACACACACAAATAATTTATTTGTACACCTTTTTATTTATAGTTTTTACATATTATTAAATAAATAAATAATACAATATAACAAGTGTTGCAGAGT